ACATTCATTAATTTTCCGAACCGCTTTATCGCTTTATTTACCGGGGGTGGTGCTGGAGTGTGTCTGTGTGTGTGTGTGTGTGTGTGGGGAGGGGGGGTATATATCATCACTGTCCTATGAAAAACATATACAGTATGTGCATTTTTAGAATTTTTTTACATTTTTATGTTAATGGGATGTCCAAAATGTGATGATGGATAGATACATGCTGTAGATAGACTGATAGATAGATAGATAATATATAGATTGTAGCTGTGGGTTCTACAGTCATTTTGTGAAGTGGCCTTAATGTCGAAATTGGATACAGTATTTGAGGACAGGTGTAATTATGCTCCTAAGTGAATAAAGGGTTTGTATTGTACACTTACTGATACACTTTATGTTCCCCTTTTTTCTTTCATTCTCTCATTCTGACAAAAGTTACGATTAATGCCAAGTGCCCTTGAGCCGATTTTCTCTTTTAACCCCCTTCCATTATACTCCATCCAAAAGTGTGAAGCTTATAAAGAGGTTAAAGACGAGGCAGGTGGGAGGTTTTTGGGTTTGGGGTGAGGCCTGTTTAACCCTTCCCGGCCCTGTATGGCTAATTACGCCGCTCTGTATACACTGGCGGCGCATAGCCGCGGCTCGCTGACCACATTTGCACTGCACCATGGGCCACACACGCACAGGCATGCAGGCACAAATTCTATTCATACAAACAAAGCCAAATTCAATCCGCATATATGACGTACATGACGCTTGAAAATGGAGCACACGTGCGCACACACACACACACACACACACACACACACACACACACAAGCACATACACACACACAAGCACACGATGCACACACCCCAACACCGCACCAGGAGGCCGCTCCGCTTCCTGCTTACATCCCCACCCCTTCCCTTCACTCCCCTGCTCTCGCACAAACATCCCCCCTTCTCTTCCTCCCTCCCTCACTCCCCGCTGCCGCACCGTCGGCCCATTATCGATCCCCCCGCCTCTCCCCGCGCCACATAAATAATCGACAAGCAATTATCCGCCCACTCCCGCTGCCCCCGGCTTTGTTTGGGAGGCACAGGGGCCACCACTGGGGGTATAGAGGTATAGAGGGAGGGAGTATGAGTCGGGTACGCAGCCGTGCGTCTCCACAGTTGTAGGCAAAGGGCTATTTGGACACACACACACACACACACACACACACACACACACACACACACACACACACACACACAGACGCGCGCGCGCGCGCACACAGACACACACATCGACGATAGTAACCAACCTACTTCGATGCGTTTTCTTATTTTCTTTCCTCCTATTTCCTTACATCAACTGTAATGGTCATTTGCGTGGCGGACGTTAGTGTCAGGCTTTATTAATGAGTCACGCTTGCACTGCAAACAAACTCGGGGCCCGTAAGTGTTTGCAACAGATTTGTCACCTTTCTGTGTAATGTGCATCCCGGTGCTGCGGTAGGCCCTGCTTGCGTCTCTGGCTGGATGATGAGGAGCTGCCTCCCGTGGGCAGGTGAGCTTCTAAGGCCGCCGGATTCCTCACCGCCGCAGCCAACGCTTCCTGCTGAGCGCGCAGCACGTCTGAGTAAAGAACAAAGATGGAAAACACGGGAACGGGGAGAAAGGAGTGTGATGGAAGAATGATAGTTGAAGCAAAGACAAGAAATGAGGAGAGGAGAGAAGGGAAGGTATAAATTTAGCATCCGGCTGCTAATTTCCATGCAGACAGGCAGAAAATCCTTATAAACATCGACTTAACACGCATGTTGAGTGGGCTGTGCATTGCTCTGTTTGTGACACAGAAGGAAAGAGGTATATGTCAGATGACACACATGAAGGACCACGTTTAAATTTGTCAACTATACTTTAGTGATTTCACACTTATTAGCCAGACTAAACATCATGCAGTGCTCTGAAATAGTATCCCCCCCCCCCCTTGTTAAATCACAAAGTTACTGTGACTAACGATAGTTTTGGGAAAGTTGAGTTCAATTTCACAGGCAACACCCTCGCGCCACATTTGTTGAATCAAACAATCACATAAATAGAATCTATCAGACAAAGTGAAGTAGGCTACAAGAACTGAAGAAACAAACGCATCATGCCACGATCCGAAGTAATTCAAGAAGAAATTAGAAAAAAATTGTTATTGAAATCTATCAGTCTGGAAAAGGTTACAAAGCCATTTCCAAGACTCTGGGGCTTCAGCAAACCACTGTTAGAACCATTATCCACAAATGGATAAAACTGGTAATGGTGGCAAAGATTCCCAGGAGTGGTCAACCAGCTAAATCCAATCCATGCATGCGATGACGACTCATCCAGGAGGTTGGAAAAGAACTTAGAACAACACCCAAAGAACTCCAGACCTCAGTGGCCTCTGTCGGTGTTCACAACTCTACCATAAGAAAGACACTGGCCAAAAATGGCATCCGTGAGAGAGTTCCCAGGCGAAAACCACTGCTGCCCTAAAAGAACACAAAGGCTTATCTCACATTTGCCAGAAGACATATAGATGATCCTCAAGACTTTTGGAAAAAAATTCTGTGGACTGATTCGTCAAAAATTGAACTTTTTGGAAGATGTGTGGCCTGTTAGATTGAGGGTAAAAATGGCACATGATTTGATAAAAAAGAACATTATGCCAACAGTGAAGCATGGTGGTGGCAGTGTGATAGTCTGTGGCTGCTTTGCTACCTCAGGACCAGGACAACTTGCTGTGATTGATAGGGTAATGAATTCTGCTGTCTACCAGAAAACCCTGAAGAAGAACATCTGACAATAAGTTTGCGCCCTCATGCAGCAGGACAACGATCCGAAACATACCAACAAGTCCACCTCTGAATGGCTTAAAATAAAAAAAAAATTAAGGTTTTGGATTGGCTAAGTGAAAGTCTGGATTTAAATCCAATTGAGATGTGGTGTGACTTTAGACGGGCAGTTTATGCTTGAAAACTCTCTCATAAGGCAGAGTTGAAGCAACTCTGCGAAGAAGAATGGGCCAAAATTCTTCCACAGCGATGTGAAAGACTCATCACCAATGATCACAAACGCTCGATTTCAGTTATTGCTGCCAAGGTTGGCACAATCCATTATTAGGTTCAAGTGGCAATTACTTTTTCACATAGGGATTGGTAGGTTTGGAATTTTTGGTGTTTAAATAAATTAAATAGGCATTTTGAAACAGCATTTTGTATATCCTTGAGTTGTCTCTGTGTGATATGAAAATTGGTTTGATGAATTGAAGTCTTTGTGTGTGATAAATATGCAAAGAACACAGAAATATGGAAGAGGGCTATATTTGTATGTGTGGAGTATAGGGGTCACTTGGAAAGGGGCAATAGAGGAAGCGGTACAACTGAAATATTTAGCACAGTGCAGATATCCACCATGGCTAAAAACTCCACATTTGCATCAGCACCAAGTTGTAAACATTTATAGACACACCATGAAAAGTCATACATTATTCACTGAGAAATGGAACCCAAAAATGATGTGTCGATGCAAAGTCTGAATTAATTTCGGCATTTGTACCTACAACTGGGTCCATACCAAAACCCTTAGTATGTGCCCCACTCAACATGAAAGTTGTTTGGAGATCCGTTTGGTTGTTTCTGCTTAAATGTTTGGCTGTTGAAGTGCACTTCAACAGCAAACAGGCAAACAATGGAAACAGGTAACACAATTGGCATGTGCAATTGTTGAGTTTCATGTACAAATGTGATTTTTGTTTTACACCACCCGCTGTTGTGGTTCACAGACCTAACTTTTGTGTGACTGTTGTTGGCCAGAAACCCACTTAATTCCCTATGCGCAATCGCAGTGTTTGTGACTGGCGATGATTTGCGGATGGATGGATGGATGGATGGTGTGAGATGAAAGCCCGCTTGTGTGGCTCTCCCTCTCACCTCCACAACCACAACAGTCTTCTCTCGCTGCCTCCTGCCTCGCGCCTCACGCCGATCCCTGACCTCTGGCGCTCGCTTCGTTCCACCTGCTTCCTCGTCTTTCCCGCCCCAGCTTCACTGCTTCTCTCGCAGACGAGACCTCATCATTATTGGCTAGGCCAGGACGCACCAGGAGACAAGGCTTCTAATGAGAGAAAAATCCATCCCGTCTCTCTCTCTCTCTCTCTCTCTCTCTCTCTCTCTCTCTTTCTCTCTGATCCTCAATCTATCTACCCCCCCTCATTTTTAATTAGACAGATCCCTCAGGTGCCAGCGGGCCATTTCCGCCGCCTGTATGGGCGTTATGTGTGTTTGTGTGTATCAGGGTGATTTAGGTGCCGCCGTGTGTGTGTGTGTGTGTGTGTGTGTGTGTGTGTGTGTGTGTGTGTGTGTGCTGAGCGGGCGCCGGGGTTGGGGGTTGGGTGGGAGGTGAAGCGACAGATATTAATGCGGCCTAGCTCCGGTGTATCGATCTGTTTGCTGCGCCAGGCCACAGGGGACTCGGCTGGCGGCAGACAAGGTTTTGTGTGTGTGTGTGTGTGTGTGTGTGTGTGTGTGTGTGTGTGTGTGTGTGTGTGCGCGTGTGTGGGTGTGTGGAGGTGGTAGTGAGGAGATAAGAGAGGGATCAGAGGAAACCTGAGCCCCAGAGCGCAAGCACACAGTTGTGCACGATGCAGGGGTGACACGGTGGAAGCGTTGACCTCTGTGAGTTTCCTGGGGGTAACGCTAGACACCACATCGGCAATTTTGGATAAGCGGCTCAGCTAAAGGGATATTATTGTGATTTAGTATTGCATCACAATTAGGGTCGGGGCGTGGGGGTGGGAACCATCAAACTAAGTTCAAAAATATCCAAACTCTTATAACAGACAATAACCACAAGACCAAGAAAAAAAATTCCTGAAAAGTTACCATGACATCAGGCTGGATATGTTGAAGCACTTTTGTCCAACATTTCAGGGTCATGGTGATCAGATGTGATTGCCAGTCGGAATTTGGACATTGGCACAACATTTGTGCTCCTTCTGTTAAGCTATGATAAGAGCCATTACTTGTTTTATTTTGGAAGGTTCTGACTTCCTGTTTCATTCCACCGCCATTGGCTTGTGAAAAAAAGACATTGCCTTGGAATTTCTGCGATTGGCGTTGAACATTTGATTCCACCAAGTACCACGAAGCGACGATGTAGACTGCAATGTTAGCTTCTCTTGCTAGCTAGCTGCCAATTGGTTCGCTGTCATATTCTTGGTAAAGGTGCAATAGTACACAGTAGAGCAGATGTCCTCTATGTCCAATCTATCTTGGTTTCAATCACCACAAAAATTCCACACATTAATATCATGGTGTCATTTTGAGCACTGAAACAATCATTCTTGTTAATTGACCTAATTGGGAAATCTTGCTTTGAAGGTTGCCCATACCAAAGTTCAACCAGTATTACATGTACCACTGCATGCAAATGCAATTTTCCCTCCACTAAAAAAGAAACAACACAAATGCTGCAAATCCCAAACATTTCTTCCTATGCATGAGTTATTTTGGGAGTTCCCAGTTCACACCACTGGGTCCATATCGCTTATCCTCCTTTTGTGCTATCCCTGTCTTTCTACTCGCCATCATTCCTGGAGCTGAGCCGAAATCCTTTCAGTTCAGCTCGTGAGAAAGCACAGGAGTGCCGCGCTGATGCAGCTTGGCCGGCCTTGTGATGGGGTTGGTGGACTGGCAGGTACTGAAAAGCCGACATCCAGCCGCTCAGCACAGAATACAGCGGCAAATAGTGAATCCTTTCACAATGTGGCAAGCTTAGGCAGAAGTAAATATGCAGAGTTTGTCACGCTTCATAATTTTGACTGATTGTGTTTGGAGCAATCACAGGGTGGAGTGGTCAATTTGTCTGGCGTGATGATAAAAACATGAAGCATATCGTTTCAAATCTCGGTAAACTCAGACACAACAATGACTCACCCATCCATCCCTTCACTTTCAAATGGATCTCTACCCCCCACACTTGTGTTTTCTCGTCTCTCCTCACAAGCTGCTTTCATCAACTGATGGTGCGAAGGAAAACCCTGCTGGCTATTTCAACAAGCCAAAGCCCTGCCTCCACCCTCTCAGAAAAAAATGCCCAGAGAGAAACCTGCATCTCACAGAAACACAGACGCCAAATCCACACACATGAACAGACTTCCATCTCGCCCCCCTGTTTCATGCACGCTTTCATTTTCTGCGGCCGACACTTCAAACACAAAAAAGCATGCTCTGTGGGGACCAAGGCTAAAAGGGGGGGGGGGGGTCGGCAGATGCAAGATTTGAGAGGGATGTATAGAAGAGACGATGGCTGGTAAGGAAGGTGATTCACTGGGACCCCCGCTGAAGACCAGGTCAGTGTCAAGTGGCTCTCACTGCACAGATTCATTCGTGCCTCCTGTGATCGAAAACAGTCACCGCTCTGTCCCAACTCTCAGATGTACCTGCTCCCAAAAAAAAGCTCAGATATTTCTATCAAAGAACTGAGAGGCCAGATAGCCAGTTTCATTGAGTATGTACAAAAAGTATTTCAAAAAGAAAAGAAAATAAAGCAGGTAATCTTGAACCTCCGGTGACGTGTGACTGCGTCACCGGAAGTTGTTAGCGCTCAGCAGTCTGCAGTTGCAGCTTGTGATCAGGGTTGTTGCGCTAAATCTTTTATCGTTATCATTATTCTCATTCAGTTTGTTTTGTACAATTCACCGAGGGGACGTGCAAAGAATGGGAATCTGGAAGGCAGAGAGAAGCATTTTAAAACGGTACGCGTGAGCTGCGATCGTTAACAGGCTGCCGAAGTGCGTCGCATGTCTCAGCGTCAGGCTATTGCTCATCATGGCATGCGTGTGGACGCGCGTGCGCGGTAACGGGTCGATCGCGGGAGGTTGGTTGATCGAAAAGTAGATCTTCGGTCAAAAAAGTTTGGGCACACCTGATGTAAATAGTCATGGAAGAAGTCTTGCAGTGGTTAAGGCTTGGGTTTTAAACTTTTTGGGTGACTAGGAATGCCAGAGCAACCGCTTGTTGGCATCAGCATTGTGTGCGGATTGGGCGGCATTACGTGCAACGTAATGTGTAAAAATGGAATGGATATGAAAACATAAAATGACAAGGATAACAGCTGGAGTGTGGAATCATCTGCCTCATACCAGCAACACTGCTGGGAAAGTACGTCAGTGACCAATCAGACTGTATAGTGCTCTGAATTCTGCCTCCTTTAAGACCCCAAGAAGGTAATTAAACCTTTTATAGGCTTCCCCTCCTTAAATTTGCAGCCAGCAGTTCAACATCATTGCTAATCCAATAAAAATAAAAGTAGCTCAAACTTCAAATGGAGCTGGGCATTGAATAGCTTGATGCCATGATGTAGGAGCTTATAGAGAACAGGAAGGGCTTAATAGTACATGTTTTACAAAAAAAAAAAAATGGATGCCATGGTAGAGCAGCAATGTACACCGCTTTCATTTGTCTTTTTTTTCAGTTCCAGTTCCATTAAGATTGACTCAGTACATCTTATTTCTCCCAAAAATAAAATAAATAAGAAAACGAAGTGGAGGTGCACAAGGATATTGAGAGTTTAGGTGCCTGGCAAGCAGCCAATAAGGGGTTCTGGATCAATGGCGGCGTTGATGCATGCCGCTTGCGGGCGTTGTTAATGACGAAGCGGAGAGGTGGTCAGAAATCAATGTGAATCCCACCTTGACAGAGGGTGGGCAATGCCACAATTAGAAATGTCAGGTCGGCCTTTCAATGGCGGCGGGAATAATTGCAATGCATCTCTGATGGATATTTTGGTGGGTGCGCTTTGTTTATTTTACAACCCCAAAAATGCAATCGAGTTATAAAGACAGCGGACTGACCGTGTCCGGGCAGTCCCATGCTGTTGGCCAGCTGGTAGAGGCGCTGTTGCTGCTCCTCGTAGGATCCGTGCTCGCTGAGTGCTGACATCATGTGCCTGTAGTGCTCCTCGGGGCTCATGTGGCTGTGGCTGCCACCTGCCTCCCCTTCTGGGCTCTGTGCGGTCTCTGAGGGACGAGAGCAGCGACAAATTTAGTTGATGAGGACCAACATCAAACTGCCCTTTTTGCAAATGCTGTCTCAAAACCTAAAAGTCATTAACTGGCGAATCATAAAGAATGAACCTGAACAGCATATACACGGAGTGTAACAATACATCTATATCGTCGATGTATCGATGTGTCTGCTATGAGATCATTCGGCAGGAGACGAGTTCACATCAATGCTCACCACACGTGGACACATTTTTAAGTGAAGGGACACAAAATTGGTATATTATATGACAATTACATTGTCCACTTGAAGTCTGAGGTCTGGCTTGGTTGTCTCACATTCTTTCTTCTAGTTCATTCTAAAGGGGATTGATAGGGTTATATTCAGGTGCGTCCACACCAACCAAATCCATCGATGCATTTATGGACCTTGGACAAAAAAAAGGACCCAAACCAAACTGATCTCTCGAAGCCGGAGCATAAAAATGTCCAAAAGCTTTTGTTAAGATGAAGGATTCAAAAGGAGGCATGTAACGCGTTTATGGAGAAGATGCAGCATCTAGCTATTAGTGCCTGCATTTCATTGCTCCATATGATCTTCCTCCTCCCTCTTTGTGTCAATAGTAAAATGATCTAAGGTAAGATTGGAGGGGTATGTGGAGGTGGTTGGGGAGACAGAGGATAAAAAGGGGGTTATTTTTACCTTCCTCCTTTCCAGTGAAACCTGAGCCTGGCCCTGAGCAAGCAAGCAGGAGCGGGGCTATGAAGCAGCAGTAGCGGCTGGAGGGAGGAAAGCGAGCATGAGAGCATCTCTGTCTCCACCGCCAAGCATCCGCTAATCCACCTGAGGTACTCAAGGCTTTTATGTTTGTACGCGCAACTCGTCTGTGCTTGTCAAAAGTTTTCTCACTCTGTAACCAGCAGGAGGGTGACGACTTTGGTGCAGAAAGAACAACAGACATCATTTACACAGCGGCATCCAATCTCACCGACTACCTCCATCTGCCCTCCTCTCAGTCCATTTCTCCACATTCATTACTCATTAATGGTTATTCTCTGTCGCTGCCATATTTGGAAGAGACGCATCACATCCGCGCCGGCAGGTGTAGCGTCGGGCTTTGGGTGCGGACGAAACTCAGGGGTAGAGCAAAAGCTTTTCCCTTAAGCATGGAGGAACTACACTATGAAAACTAAACACTTAAAGGACATTTTGCCAGTTAGCTGAACACAAATGCTTGGACACACTGTAGCATAAGTTGCTAACCATTCCGAAAGTGGTCACTTGTGTTCAGTGTTAGTGAGAAACGAATCACTAAAACAATGGCATCAATGAGACTCTCTATTTGCCTTGTTAAAGGTGTTGTGTTCACTTATGGCTCCATTAGCCATCTGTTAGCACCTATTAGCAGTGTATTAGCACCAGTTAGCCATCTGCTTACCATGTTTGTTAGCAGTGTTTTAGCCTCCTCTCGTCCTGTATGTTGGCATCTTAACTCTTCATTCCTGAAAACTAGTTCTATTATTCTTTTGTTTGTTTGTTTGTTTTTTGTCGACACAACATATTTCAACATTTAGGGCCTTAATTGGTCCATATTTTGATACCCAAATTTAGCTCAACGTGCAGTCTATCTGTACACATGGGTGAGCGAAAGTTTAGCGAATATTGCAATTGAACATTGAGCATACGTGAAGTTTTCTTTTTTGGGTATTTTTGTAGCGAAGCGCAGTTTGAAAGGGGCATCTGCGCCATCGTGGGAGTGAACACAGCTGACGTGTTTCCAATGAAAGCAGGTCCACTCATTCCCTTAGAATTCAGCGCAGAGGAGGCGCACTGCAGTCCATGCACAAGATCAAAGCCCACAATAAAAATCCAGTCCCGGTCCTGGATCATTGTCAAAAAGAAAAGAAAAATACGTCCCATCTCGCTCCTGGTGAAAACAACGCCCATTTACACTTTGCACCCATTTTGGAGGTCAGCTCCATTAAAAATGGTTGTGCATCTGTCCATTTTTTTTTTCGAGTGGATAATTCCGCTCCTGTCTGCTTTTTTTACCCTTTAACGTCCCAATGCCTTGATTAAAGGTAAAGTTGACTCCCATCCCGAGGGAATCCCACAGGATTCCTGTGGCCAGCGGGATTCCCGAAAAAAAAAGTGAACCTGTTGAAAGAAGCCAAAACTCTCTCTCTCTCTCTCTCTCTCTCTCTCTCTCTCTCTCTCTCTCTCTCTCTCTCTCTCTCTCTCTCTCTCTCTCTCTCTCGGTCACACAGACACGCAGATGCACGAACACTCACATATAAATAACTGCATCTTTAATAGGCTGAGATGGAGCCTAAAAGTAAGTGTGTAGGAGTAGCAGTCAAAAAGAAAGGGTCACCAAACACCGCTCCAGTCACTCGGTCCTATATTTTACCATATTATTGACACGTCAACTAATCAAAAGTTTCATCAAATAAGCCAGTGTCTATGTGCAAATGCATGAACTGTATGCATGTTGCTGATGTGCAGTATTTCCAGGGATGAGCTTGGATGTACGGTAAGGCGCCCTGGGTTTTGCCTGCTCTATAATGCATCAGTCAGGAAGTCTTCTTCGGGAGCCGAGAGGGAAAAGCCTGTTGGCTGCGTCGGGCGCCCAGTTCCACGCCACATAAGAGAAATATGAATAATAGACGATGGTGACTGGATTGCTGCACTATCGCCAAAGGTATTCCTGTCAATCCATGATTCATCATGCACTCGTATCATGTTATGGGCAAAGAGAAAATGTGAACTGAAGATTTAGTATCTCGCAACGATGCGAAATAATAAAATGAATTAATTCTGGCCTGATTCTGTTCCCCCAACTTTTGCGCAAGGACATTTCTTCCCAATCAAATCTTGAATTCAGTTTCTTGGGCCTTGCTCTAAATCGAGGGATTCCCCAAATTGGAGGTGCGCAAGTGCTTTGTGACGCAGTGCAACACATTAAAAGTATGAAATGGGCGTCTGCTGTCATAATTACACATTTACATATATTTAAACATGAGCATTTCTTCTGTATTATGTGATTCCAGCGATTAAAGGTGGTGCCTTGATTGGCTATAAATGGGCTTTTTTTTTTTTTTTTTTTTTTAAAGGATCTGTTCGGAGATGGGATGCACCATCTGTGTCGGGCGGATTTAAGGGGGGTGCGCGGATTACAAAGTGCGAGAAAAGTGCTATTCTAAACCGTTCAAACAACACATTTTCTCAGCATAATTTTAACATGCTGACTTCAGCTACAGCTAAGTCAACATTGCCTCTTTACTGATTCTTCCCCTCCTGTCTTTCTTCTCCCGCGAAGCTGAAGATGAACTTCATGCGCGAATGTGACAAAAGCAGTCGATAAATGCCAGTTATGGCAAAAACATTAAAATTTTAAAAAATTAAATGCAATGGCACCCTAATAATGCAATGTCTTGTACAGTCTCAGAGTTCAAGTCAGTCAAGTCGAGTCTCAAGTGTAAAATTCACGACTCCAGTCTGACTCGACTGAAGTTTTGTGTCTTGAGTCCTCCACCTCGGATGAATGCAATACTTGCTCTTACCTTTGGGGGATACGCTGCGGGACTTCTTACTGTCCGAGGGGGAGTTGCTGCTGCTGTTGGGAGAAAAGCTTCTCCTCTTTCCTAGAAGGTCATCTGTAAACATACAGACACAAACAGAGAAATGAATGCAAACGATGGACAAAAAAATACTGTTTGTCTTCCTGAACGAATGATTGCTGGGAAATTAGTTTGGCCGTGAGTTAAAAGAGTTAACGAGCATCCCTCCCCCGCCAAAAAAAGTAAAAGCTGGAAAAAAAGAATTATTGAAACAGGCCACAGGTATCTGGAGATGCGCATTTTCTGTTGCAGATGAGAGGGGGGCTGAACCGCCTCATGACACATCGGGCTCACTCAGTCATTCACTGTGTGCATACAGGTGTGTGTGAGTGTGTGCACGCATGCGCGTGTATCAGTGGAAACAGGACAACGGTTCTTTCTCGCTATCTCGCTAACGTCTTTTCCAACAGGCTGTCCTGAGGTCTTTTCATGCCTCCTCCAATCTCTCCACTTGTCTTTTTCCAGATGTGGTTCCAAAAAAACCTGTGGTTGCATAGCCTCAAAGCAGGCGGTGTCCGAACAACAGCCTGGGTGCCATTTGCCCACCGTCCGTCTTTCTCAGCTCATGGAAGATACTAAAATTTCCAATTGACAGCGCGCGTCGTTTTCCTATTGCGTATTACTGGTACTACACTTTCAGGCATAAGAGAAGAAGAAGAAGAAATTCATTCTCATCTTTCAGTTCCTTGATTTCCACCACACGACATTTGGTGAGACATGTCTTGGAATCGTGATTATTGACTCCATGTTTACTCGATGTCAAGGTCCGCCTAAGCACACAATGCTCTTGTTTTGGTTCTGAATGTGGCGATGTGAGTCTCCTGCTGCTCAATACAGGGATGGATCTATTGTAGTGGGATGGCGGGGCTGTTAGACACACAAAAATTTTCTTTTTTTTTAGAAGGGTGTAACATAGGTATTGTGCATATGAAAATGACATAATTGCTTCACCTGTTTTTACCTTCACTGATGAATTGGTTGTAGCATGTTAATAACCCTTTCAGGGACAGCGGTAACTACAGTGGACAGTTTACCATGTTATCAGGTTAGAGGGTGCATGAAAGGGTTCAGTAAATTAAAGGCGAAGACTGTCCAAATTGCCATCGCTTCCTTTTTTTTTTTATTTTTCCGTGTGTGACCTTTGAAAGAAAAAAATGTGGACACATCTGCTATAAGCTATTTCCATTTCCATCAGCCCACTTGATGCCCGTATATTAGTTTGTGACCAACGCAAATCCCAATCTCTCATGAAAACGACCTCTCATTTGTTCCTCTCGCCCACACCCGAGCTCCTCCTTGTGAACAAACACATTTCTTCGCCTTTCCTCTTCTTGTGTACAATCACAGCACCCCCTACCGCTGCCTCCTCCTCCTCGCCATCTCCTCCCCTCTCATGCGTTCCTTCCTTCCAGCCCCGCCGTCTCACCTCCACCCAATCAAACGCACCTCAAATCAATACGGGCCTAATCACGGAGGGAGGAGATGCAGACCGCGTCGCAGGAATGGAAAAGATGTTTGTCATCTCTCTTGCCGTCTGTTCTTTTTTTTCCCAGCACACCTCGCCTTTTGTCAGACTCTGTCAGACAAACCACAGCAGCAACTGCTTCCTCTGTTTTTTTTTTTTTGTTGTTTTTTTTTGCCGTTTTCCTGCCGTCTCTTCACTGAGGGTATTTTTAGGGCTTGGGAGGAGCATTTTTTTTTTCCGACAAAGAGAATGGCCATTCCGTCTCCTCTTTAACAGAGACATGCTTATCATTTGTCTATGAAAAACAATGAACAAAAACAATAGCCATTCTTTGAAGAGTTTGTAGACTTCTGTCATGAGCTCAGGCCTTGTTCAAAGAAACACTGACATTTTTTCCTGAGAGTTTTGGCTTGATATCAAAGTGTATTTTTGGAAAACTGCCTCCACAGTGAAAATTTTGTCTCTGAGTGGAGACGGAAAAGATTCAACATTCTGGTGGGGCTCTACCACTTTTCTCTTGTTTTGTCAACTTTATTTCCAATACTTCGCTGTCAGGCCACAAGAATTATTTACAGAAATGACCTTAAAGCTGCAGAGTGGTCAACAAAGTTAGCTAGGGGTTACAGTCCCAATGGTGGTAAAGTTTAGCTTGGCAAGATCGAGACTTAATGAGAGTCCCAAATGGCATACAGGCTGACAGGAATTGCGGATAATATTAAAATGCCAGCGGGAAGTGGTTTATATGTCCACTAAGTGGACATTTCAAGAGAAAAGTTGCCGTCGGGTCATCTCAAGGTTAAAATGCATTGGAAGAGGTACGCCATCAACTTGTGAAACTTGGTCGTTTGTCATTTCGTTACTTTTGAAATGCGGTACTGAGTGTGATCAGCAGTTACTTCCATAACTTCACTTGTAGAGTATTAAAAATCTGCTTTTGAATACCGGGTGGGCAAGCAGTTGGTGCACCACCATGTGATACGAGCATGGTATGCAAATGACAGTGCCTTTAGGCGTGTTTTTTTTCCACAACATCTTTAAGTGGGAAGAAGAAAAAAAAAAACTTCAATTTTTAATCCCTTGTTTGATGTTGTTGAAGAGATTCAAAAGCATTACCACCCGAAAAACCATTAGAGGGAGGAAGATGTTAATGAGGATGGATAGACACACGCACACACACGCACACACACATACGCACACACACACACATGAAGGGTGCTTCTCAATGACCTGTCTGCCCCCCCCTCCCTTCATTTGCCATCCCAATGTTCTTTTTTTTTTTCCCCCCACTTGTCCCTTGTTCGGAAAAACCTACATCTCCTAATCCAGAAACGGCGACAATCCCCATTAGCTGGAGCCTCCATTCCACCTTCAGAAAATGCAAAGAGCATGCTTTCCACCCACGCTCGGAGGCGCTCGCTTATGATCAAACACACATCCTGGAGTCGTCTCTCGAGCTGACCTCACTAAAGACACGCCGTCTCCAGAGCTGGGTGCCCGAGGGCCAGAGATTTGAGGGCGGCAAGCTTTTAAAGCCAATTAAATGGGGCTTCTTAGAGGACTGATGCTCCCTTTTAATGCCCAGCCCTGAGCAGTGCTAGCGCCTGTGCAAGCCGTTTACGAACTTACAGTCAAGTTTGCTACCCGGGGCGCTTCCCGATCACATGCTTGTTATGTTATCTTGCGCACTGCGGTGGGGGTGGTGATTATTATTTGATCATCGGTGCGGTGAGTTTAAATTTTTAAAGTGGCGATCTGGGTTGTAGCGAACAACACGACTAAATTCATTACCGTTATGAGAGCGTATCAGTAGATACTACAGAAAGCTGTATGGGGACCGGGAGTGTTCTCTTCTTATTTTGTTTCTTTTTATCCAACCAGTTGAGGCAGATGGCATCCCACATCCTCACCTCACCTATCCCTTGACTTCCGTAGAAGTCGTTGGGGCTCCTCCACCAGTCTCTGTCCTCCACTGCTCTTTGGGACTCTGCCAGGCCCAATCCTGTCCATTCTTGGATGTTGTCCTCCCATCTCTTTTTCTGTCTGCCCCTTTTTCGGGTTTCCTCTGACTGTGCCTTGCAGGATGGTCTTAGCGAGGCCAGATGAGCGGGATGTGTGACCATTTCAGCTTGCCAGATGGATCTCTTTAAAAGTTTCTAGTTTTGCCTTCACTGATTGCTCAAGTGTTGGACTTGTTTAGTACGGTTTGGAATGTTCTAGTATTGTAATGTTTCAATTGTCAAAAGTTGCGAGGGTACCAACTTCGCAAAACTTTTGGCACCCCCGTCGTTGTACTCATAAGAATGGCACGGCAACTGAAGCACTTGAAATTCCCAGAACACTTTCTGTCCGACAACAAAATCCAAAATGCACCTTTTCTAAAACAAAGCTTGTCTTCCATTTGTAATAAACAGCCACGTGCCAAGAAGAAGGAACACAGTAGACTGGATGTCCTCCATTGTTGTCCTTTGTTTGCTGTCGGGAAATTGTTGGCAGGTGTCACTCTGTTATGGGCCACCGCTTATGCTGACGCAGCCATTCTGCCAAGACGCCCTGAGCCGGAGATGCGAGCCATCAGATCAGAGTTTACCGGTGTAAACTGCACGACAGCACGTTGAACTTCAATGTGGAACGGTGCCGAGACTTGCGTCGTAAAAACGTTCAATAACTTGTGATTTGGCTGTATGCAAACCCAACTGAATCCTCCGCCCTGTAGCAGCCATCAGAAACATGTCCAAATGCCATGATGTGTCAACCTTGCAAGTTAACCGCCTTTAGAAGCGCAATTCATCCAACTGAGAGGAAAAACAGATGAGCTCAAGACCGAGAGGAAAAAGCGGGATCTAAACCATTCTTTCATGTGACACCATCAGGGCGAACCATCAAGCAAGGCAGCATTCCTTGCTCTCGCCTTCTCTCTCTCTCTCTCCAGTCCAATTTCCTCTCCTCCCTCCTCCCTCCATCGCAGGGAGCGTGGTGACAGCTCAGACAGCCAGACTCCTTAATTCCTCTCTTACTCCGTTAATCTGTCATCTTTATCAGGCCAGCAAGGGGGGAGGAGGTGAGTGGCGAGGGGGGACCGCGTGAGGAAAGGCGGGGTGACAGGCGGGGACGCGGGGTGGGCCGCCAGCCGCAGCCCCCCAATCAATCTTCACATTACAGCTGACAGAATGGTGCTAATAACTTATTGATCCCCCCCTTCCGTGCACTGGGGCCTCCGCCGGCCCTGAAAGCCCCGCCATTGATTGGCTTACGGGCCGATGCAGCTGGGGCGAGGGAAGGGGCGGGGGCAGTCGTGGTGGGTGATGGAGACGGGGGCGACGTGAGGGCACTTGGGCTCGTGCCGAGGGAGGATGCGCCACTGCCAACATGCAAAGTACACGCGGCAATACAGTTGGGCGCGCGTGCTTGTCTTTCTCCGGCGGGAGACGGAGGAAATTGAAAGAAGTGGAGCTCAAGAAGAATTATGGGCCGCATGCGGACAAAACGTGTCGCAAACTGCTCAGTCATCTGGTGCACAGGTGGCCGCGTGTGTTTAAGAAGTTTCCGGAAGCCGTAACTTAGCGCATTTAGATTAGCGAAACGCTGCGACAAACACGGAAGAAGCCATTAACAAGTAATTATTTGGTCTCTGTTGGTAGCTACATTCGATTATTCTCGGATTTTAAGTGGTCCCACATAATTTGGATCGCAGGCTGCTTTCGTCATCTGGTGCACAGGTGGCCGCGTGTGTTTAAGAAGTTTCCGGAAGCCGTAACTTAGCGCATTTAGATTAGCGAAACGCTGCGACAAACACGGAAGAAGCCATTAACAAGTAATTATTTGGTCTCTGTTGGTAGCTACATTCGATTATTCTCGGATTTTAAGTGGTCCCACATAATTTGGATCGCAGGCTGCTTTCGGAATGCAAATTACGGATAGAATGCATATTATCAAAACTGATGCATCAAGGCCTGAAGGTAACTTTTAATTACAAAACTAAAAAATATATATATTAAAATTAACGTGTATCTTTGTTCCTCGTCAAACCTCGGGTTGACCATTCATACTTCATCTTACAGCACCTGTTGGTCAGCAACACTACTCCATATGAATAATCATCATCAAAACAATGGTTCTTAAAGGTTAGGGATTTTTTTTAAAAGCATCCTCACATGATTGAAGATTAAATTAAAAGCCGACATGGGTCGGTAGTTGGTAAAATTAGCGGCTGTGGCACTTTGGCTCATCTAAAAAGTTCATTCGAATCACCTCACAAAGGCATTACATGTACTTTGATTTGCATTCAAATAAAATGTGGACCATCATCCCCTCGGGCAGCACAGTGACCAAGTGGTTGGCACGTTTGCCTCACGGCTTTGAGAGTCGAGGTTGGAAACTTTGCTCCGGCGTTCCTTGTCCATCCGTGTGCTTGCTTAATGTATTCCAGCTTCCTCCCACATTCCAAAAGCCTGTTCGGTTCAGTGAAGACACTTAATTGTCGATAGGGGTGAACTTCACTGTGAATGGTTGTTTGTCTCTATGTGTCCCGCAAGTGGCTTGTGACCAGTCCCGGGTTTATCCTGACTTTTGCCCTCTGTCAGCTGCAATAGGCTCAACCTCACCCGTGACCTGATGGGTTATAGAAAATCACCCACCACCCTCTACTCCAAAATATCCACCTCGACTTCTGGAATAGACACAATGATGTTGTTTCAGTTCTTTTAACAAACCCTCCAACAGTAGCAAGGCTTTACCACAAAGAAAGACCTCTCAGAAACCCATTTTAGAGCATTTACCAGCCATACTCCCTTGTCTCTATGTTATAGCATGAGAAACCCAAAAGCATTTGCTTTGTTTCATAGAACCCTTTAAAAGGTATCACATCCGTAAAACTTAAAAGGCAACTTGCACTCACTACCTGCCTGAGAAAAAAAATGAAATCCCTTCCCTAAACATGCTGTGTTCCAGATTCTCATGCAAGTAAAAAAACAAAAGAGGCACTTAAAACCACACTGGGGAAGATGCTCTCACACACACACACACACACACACACACACACACACACACACACACACACCAACAAGTTGTAACTGCCTGTGGGAGTCTGTGCGGAGGGAGAGTAGGAGGAGGAGGCGGTCCAAAAACACCTTATCTGCCTGTTTGAGTCTCCGGTCTGACCACAGCGCCACAGTTTACAGTCTCCACAGGCCGCCAGACTCTCAGCAACGGCGCCCGTGCTCACCACCCCCACCCCCCCAACGCCCCAGCCCCCACTTCCCTTCCTCCATCCCCTCATCCCCACCTCCCCCCATCGCCGCTCACAGACCCTCTGAATAGCCGCCGGCTGGGGAGCGAGAGCGCGAACGAGGGAGGGAAGGAGGGAGGGATAGAAAGGAGAAGAGAAGGCGGGAGGCAGCCTTCCTGTCTGTCCCTCAGATTTAATTAACGGCCTGCTCCGGCACAGAGACGACCTCTTTTCCTCCCTGCGCCGCATACACACACACACACACACACACACACACACACACACACACACACACACACACACACACACACACACGCGCGCGCGCACACACGCAGGCGGCGCTGTCCGCCACCATAGCTGCCGCCAGCTCTCCCCCGAAGCCGCCAGCACACTCATTCATCTCTCTTTCCTCTGTCTCACTAATTCCAAATGTTTCTTCCATCACGGCGTCTCTCTCCTGTGAGCGTTCTCTTCTTCTGCCTCATCGACTTCCTGTTTTTGTTTGCGCACGCTGTAATTCCGCAATTTTGCATAAAGTTGCAACGTTGACAGAGGAAAGAAGAGAGAAAAGACTGGAAGAGAGACAAGTCAAATAATCCCCAGCTCTAAAAGTTACACAGACACCCACGAGCGTATTTAGACGTCAATCCTAACCTGTGTTGATTTTACGTGGGCACGCATTCCGTGTAGCTAGCCGCTATTTTGTGTGTAACAGTGTGCTTGTGAATGTGTGTGTTGCGTCTAATTTCACTGGCAGACAGAATTACAGGCACTGATCGGATTGGGCCTGTTTACAGACACGGACCGCGGCGCGCGGGCAGCCTGTTAAATCGCGCTTTAATGCTCAAACGGGCAGATTTTCAGGTCCAGGACCCCCTCTGGCGAAGGCAAACTGTGGTCAGCCCCTCTTTCGTCAGCGGCCGCCCAATGCACCTCCATATCCGCCCATTGTGTCTTCCTTCATTAGCGCAACTACTCAACACTCGTAAAGAGGATGATTAAGACAGCAATTGGGGTGAAAATCCATTCCTAAGTTGGGTGTAAGATGCTACCCGTCTAGTGGTGGCGCCCTTGTACCCACAATGCCTGGCTCTGACAGGTACCGTATGGGCAATTAATCCTGCAGACAAAAGATGAACAAACAGAGCGCGGGGGAATGGAGGTGTTGGGTCTGAGCTGATTTGCCACTTGCTGTGCTAATGGCTAATAGGATGAGAAAAAGGCAGGGTCGCTCCGGGGGCAAATTTAGGGTGTTACCCACAAAGCTGCATTGTACATGCGGAATAAAAAACATGTGTGCTATAGCTGCTGTCCTAAAAGACATTTGTCCTATAAAACAGTTTCTGAGCCTTCAAGTCAAGTAATCCACAGCTCTCAAACTTCATACACACCCACGTGCCACTGGACGCGAATCTTTGGCTTTACTATATGCACACAGTCCAAGTACAGCACAGGCACGAACTATGACGTTATTTCATTAAATGTGTGCACTGAATATTAAGATTTCATTGTGTCGAATATTTTATTAGAATTGTGACTCTTTAGCACGTTGGCCTCATGGTGCAGAGGTCATCGGTTCAAATCCAGCTCCGGCCTCCCTGTGTGGAATTTGCATGTTCTCCGCCGTGCTCGCGTGGGTTTCCTCAGGGTACTCCGATTTCCTCCCACATTCCAAAAACATTCACAGTAGGTTGACTGGACGCTCGAAATTGGCCATTGGTGTGACTGTGGATGGTTGTTCATCGATGTGTGCCCTGCGCTTGGCTGGCGACCAGTTCAGGGTATACACTGCCAACCACCCAACGACAGCTGGGATAGGCTCCACTACACCCGCGACCCTCGTGAGGATGAATGAATGGATGAATATATTGCTGAATACATGATTAAAATCGAATTAGCAAACAATTAAATCGATATACTGTATATGCATAAACAAAAATAATTAATGTATTGAATTCATTCCTAAACGGAATAAATAAATGAAAAATCGAATAATAATAACAATTCAACAATAATGATCACATCTATTTATGTCATTGACTACAATCATATGATAATCCAGGTTATGGTCCTAAATTGAATTTGATTTCATTAGTTTTATTTGAGAATTTTCTATAGTCATTACAATTCATTTTCAACTTGAGCAAGCAAACTTTGAGTTAACTGTGTTGGACCTTCCTCTCACATTAGTGAATCAGGCTATCATTTGTGGAATCGCTAATGCTTTTGCTAAGTGGTGCGCATGTAATAACGAATGAAAAAGATGTGCTTTTTGTGTATTTGGCTGACACACTAAGCACAAATATGTCATTTTTAATCGTCCGAGTGGCATAAAACACCCAAACACACCGTGACAATAGCTGATTAGTGAGGTCGTTTTACCAACCATATGTCTTTAATGGCGGCACAATATCCTCACACAGGCTACTTGACAAATAGCTGCGATTAAAAGCTGTCTGTGTTTCATCTCTAAGATCCTAGCTTAGCACAACACGGTTCCTCAGCTCACATGATTGTTTGGATTAAGAACAAACAAAGGTATTTATTCGCAGGTAATTTGAAACAGGGGTTTTAACCCCAAAATAAATCCCCACTTGCTGCACGGAATGTACAAAGAACATTGAGTAAAAGAGACAAGAGCGTGAACTTCAGGAAGAAGTAATAAGCCTATGGCAAAATCCCCCAATCGCACACATTAGAGTCAAATAAAAGAATACTTGCAAATGTTACAGAGAATCTGCCAGCGTTAGCCGCACAATGTGCCCCGCCCTTACGCACATGCAACATCACTGGAGGTCCTACCTGTGTGTCCCGGACTGGCATTGTGGTCGGAGGCTGACTGGCCCTCGGGCATGCCGTGCTGTCTGCTGTGGTGCAGGTTCGAGATGATTGTAGAGAGGTCACTGTCACGACTGACGCACGCACACAGGAGAAGAAGACAAGAGAAATAAACAAAAGCGTAAAGCACTTCCAAACAGAAATCCCCAAATCCAAACCAGTGTGACATCAACTTTTTTTTTTTTTTTTTTAAACACTCTACTTACAACAGAAAGGCTCCATATAGACCGTACTACAGTTTGTCCAAACTCAGCAGCTACAGGTAGCTGCGCTGTGAACTATTATCTATCATTTTCACAACCTTTAAGTACCGGTAGTTTAACAGCCTCAATGATGATCCTGCTTCAGACAGATGCCGCTATATCAGCTGTTTGAAGGCAATATTAAAAATTGCACAAATATTAAATGTACAAATCGTCCTGCGTTTCAAGATGCGCGTCGTACCACATTGTGCAAAATCCCGCAGAGCACCGAGCCACTACTGGAAGTCATGTAGGGTCGGGCCGAATTATTAGCAAGAAGAAGAGACAGAGGTCTCCATTACAATAAAATTCCAGTCATAGATGTTTGTTCCCAGGGAGCAGCGTGAATATATGCATTTGTATGTGTTGCTGCTCCGTGCGTTAAAAGCAGCAATGATTTGAAGGTTTGTTATGAGCATACAATTTGAATTAGCATATCAGTTGCGTGGATGAAACTATATGGTTTGGTTGAATATTTTATGGGTTGAAAATACAATATTTAATTCTTTTTTTGATTCATGCGTCAGTCTTACAGTCAAATTCAAGGGTGATTAAAAAAAAAACAGCTTGAAGCTTTGCTTTGTTTGCTGTGCCTGTTCGTTGAAGAACTTTGGAGCAAGAGAGTGAAACAAGCACGAAGGAAGACTTTCAAAACTGAGCCAAAAGAAATTTAAGTCTGTTTTAATAAGTTTAAATGTGTTTAATGCATATGGGAGGTGTAGAATTTTTTTTAATCATATGGTCGCTCTAAATGCAGGATTTCCAACTATTGCAAGTCGGTCTGGAATATATATTCTATCACCGACAGTGACTCACTGTTGTGCTAGACTTTTTTATCATTTTACAATAGCTGATTTTATTTTTTATTTTTTTTGCATTAACTAAAAAAAAAAAAATTCCTAAACGTTTGTGTGAAAGTGGCTCTTTCTATTGCTTATCAAACTACAAGGTTTTGTAATGAGCTAAAATGAGTCTCTTAAATCTGAATTAGAAATTGTCCATTTCTTACAAAAGAATAATCAACAATACGTTTTGACACAGTGCTTAGGGCGTCCCTCACATTTTCTGTTGCAGAAAGTTGGTTTCTGTTGTAGGCCGAATCGACTGGTGTGTGTGTGTGTGTGTGTGTGGGGGGGGCTTGAGTTGTCGGCTGTAATTCTTTTCATGGCTCTTCAGATAATTTGCATCTGGCCACGCTGTTAAAGTCAGAGTCTGGGGCAGATGCAGTTGCCAAACTTTGAATACCACTGACGCAGGTGATGGTGTGTGACCACAGGCATCAGTTGCAAACATTACTGTCCAGAGTTGTGGTCATTGCCTTCTAACGCTATGCAGCACGGTACCGAAAAAAACACATCGTGCTTATTTCTTGATGACGTAACACTGCATGGTGCTGTCCAGGTATAATTATATGTTCACTAACATTGCGAAATCTATTCACTGTAGGGGGAGCCCTGGTGCACAAAAATGTCCATTCGTTCTTAGCCTTGCTTTAAACCGAGAAAAGAAGTAAAAAAATGGGTTTACATCCCCAAGTTGGCTGGTGCTGCCCAATTCCCCATCAATTACCTTCTTTCCTCGCCAGCAGACCCACACAAGTGTGTCAGGGGGGTATTTCATTTGCAATCTGATTACCATCCTGATCGCATTAAATACCATAATGATGGGAAATAGCCGCTTAGCATTCAGGGGGAGTGTAGCAGCCGTCTAGTGGAAGTGTCGTCACACTTAATGGCAAACAGCTTGTGGAAGCAGAGGCTTGATTTTTTTTTTTTCTTTTAGCTGACATTCCAAAAAGCTAAGTCTATGCATTCATTAGTCTCTCATTTTGTCACCCCAAAGAAACCTTAAAAAGGCATTTTTTTTTGCCCCATGTTTTTGATTTTGAACTTATCCTCATATGTCGCAAAGCATGACATGTCAGCTCGCAAGATGATTAAAAGCAGAGCAGTCTCCTAAGTGGGTCTGTTGTGACTCGGCAAAGCAGCGTTTATGGGACAGAAGTGGTGAATGGTTCTTAGCTGCCACCACGATGACGATGCCACACTGTTTGCGGCTGCTGGATTTGGGTTTTTTTTTACAGCCTCATGATTACAGGCTACCGCCGTAATGTCAGGCTGCGGGGCCGCCAGGCTGTTTTCCACACGCTAACAGAAAAGATGAAGGCGAGTGTCGAGGGCCTAATGCTGGCCTCCGACGGTTATTTTTCAGTCACACAGAAGCAATGACTCAGTAAACAGTCAGACGGTCACCTAAGATAGGAGAGCCTTGAGTGGCCCCATCAACTGCAAACGCTTTACAATCATAACAAACATCTTTCTGGGATGTTAACTTTAAAATTAGAAGAATCCGTGAGATTCCCGCTAACAAACAATGCGTAACGCTGCAGCCAAACTCATTGCCGCCCTCCCTCGATCGGTCACTCAAAATAATCATGATAATACTATCGTGAACTCCTCAGGGAGGTTAGAGGTCTATTATCCTTGTGGCGCGTCGGCCGCTGTAAGCCATGAACGGCAAGGGCATTGTTAGCGGAGTAATTAGCGCACTTTTCTTGAGCTAGTCCGGCCTGGACTAATGAGGGGCTGAGGCCGATCTTCACCCACGTCTGGCTGCCCTCGGCCCGCCCCCTTTCCTTTCAGTGGATGGCGGCAAGGTCACCCCCCCACCCCCCAGAGGGTGGAGAAGGGGATGGGGTTTAAGATCCAGTCACCTGAGTCAGCGCTCCCACATGAGCTCTCAGGATGGGAGCCTGGTGAGGATAGGCTGTGGGGAGCGGAGTATTATATTAATGTTGGGCCTGGCCGCTAATAAGGACATGATCCGCCATTTCATCCTCAGCTCATCCCCGAAACGGTCAACTCCACCCTTCCATCCTGAACCACGGGAGACTCACTGACCCAGACGGTGAGGTGATAAAATGGCTGTTGACACACGTTTTAATAATAGCATTATCTCAACACGCTATAAACATGTTTGCTAGTGCCAGCACTGGTCCAAGTGGACATGATTTTCTTCAGTGGATAAGTTTGGGGGAAATTGTGAATGGTCGCTTTATCGTGTTACTTTTTGCCCCGCCTTTTTGAAATCCGAGTCCCTCCAAATAAAGAAAATCGTGGAACCTCTAAGAGTAGGCGCAATCCTTTCTAGGGTGCTTCGTTTGCACCGTGTCCCACACATCAGGCAACTACAACTGAGAACAGTCCAGAAAAACAGGAAAGGACTCGGCACGGTGCAGCAGCACCCCACTGAGGCTTTGGCACGCCGAGTCTGGGGTGGCGATGCTGGAGGTCACGATATGAGCTGGCAAAAGCTGGCGCGGAGGCACCCCGACGCCACGTCTCACACCGCCACTGGCAAAGTGCTGACAGACGGACGACGGGCATGTGAATGTGGAGGAGAAAGAGCGACTGAGACAAGACAGAAAGAGGTCAAAAGCGGGATGGAGCGTGAAGATCTGGAGCTGTAACCTCCAAAACAGCCCGAACGCACTACCCACCAGACCTGGGCAAAGTACAACCCGGTGTCCACATCTGTCAGAGTCTCTGACCGGCCCTCAGAATGACTCTGAACTCAAAGTAAGACGTAAAATATGCAGTGATTTTATTTTGTTTTCTTTTTTGAAATGCACACATCTGATTGCTTGTACAAGCGAGGTAGCAAGCAAGAGCTCAACCTGTGTATGACTTTTTGTCAACGTAGCCATGCTTTATCCATCCATCCATCCATTTTCCGATCCGCTTAATCCTCACAAGGGTTGCGAGGGGTGCTGGAGCCTATCCCAGCCGTCTTCGGGCATAGGCAGGGGACACCCTGAACTGGTTGCCAGCCAATCGCAGGGTACACACAGACGAACAACCATCCACGCTCACATTCACACCTTGGGACAATTTAGAGTGTTCAATCAGCCTGCCATGTGTGTTTTTAGAATGTGGAAGGAAACCGGGGTACCCGGAGAAAACCCACGCAGGCCCGGGAAGAACATGCAAACTCCACACATGGAGGCCGGGGCTAGAATTGAACCTCTGCACTGTGAGGTTGACGTGCTAACCACTGGGCAGCCGTGCTTTAGCAATAGCCTATTTAGCAGCTTTTCCGACCCCGCTAGCAGCAGTTTTTTCCCAAAAATCGACTAGCAAAAATGGCAAGAGTAGTCCTAATGCTAGCAACATGCTTATTTCCTACGCTCTGAAGGGAAGAGGGCCAAGAAGTTTCATTCACAAAAGTTTGTTCAGAATGCTAGCAATGGGACCAAAAATAGGAAGGAGGAATTTAACAAAATAAAAGAGGCTTGTGTGTGACGTGCAGTAGTGGCCCGTATGACGCGGCGTCACATATGAGGGGTATATTCCCCCCCCCCCCCCCGAAAAGGTTGTATCACAGTATTTTCTGCTCCTATGGACAAAGTATTGGAGAGAAAAGTAAAAACAATTATTTATCCAAAAAAGAACTACGGTACTGACATACTCGCCGCCACTGTACATTTAAATTCGGCTCATGCAAATGTTTTTTGTTTTGTTTTTTTCTTTTGTGCTGCTTGCAGCTATGAAAGACAGCACAAAACTGAGAGTCAAGCAAGCAGAGGTGAGAATAAATAAGAATAAAAATAACTAATGAGCAACAGTCGCTCGTCTTCAACTTGATGCTGTTCTCCCTCAGGCACAACAAGTCACTACAATTGGAACAGTGTCGCTGATTTTGGCCAGACGCAATCTATGTTCGTCATCGCCCCGCTTCCCTTTTTCACACATGGTACTGCGTTCATATTTTCTTGTGAGGAAACTCTGGAAATAATTCTCTAATTAGCCAAACGGAGATCAAGAGCATCACATGGCACACGCTGCCTTCAAATTTGAGATTTTTGAGAGACTTATGAGGAAATACTTTCGAGTTACTTGTTGTCAACACCCACTCAAATACAAACTTTTGCAACTTTTTTTTTTTTTTTGGGCCTCGGAAAACAAGCGTCAACAATACCAAAATGGCTTCAAACAAAAAGTGCTTCCACAAAGCCATAAAACTAAAACTACCCCCAGAAGCTCACTAATTAACACTTAGAAAAGAGACGTTTCCAGTAAATTCACACTGTCCGTGACCCCCCCTTCCTGGAAAAAGGTAATAGCGCAGTTGTTCAACACAGCCACAAAGCGAAATGTTGAATGCGTCAGAAATAAACTGTTTCCGTGGTCGTGGTTATTTACTCAGATTGACAATAACGTAACCATGTGCAAATATGAACCAATGCTACGGGAAAAGGCGTGCGTGCGTTTTCAAGTAGGCACAATTCCACTTATTTAAGTTCAAGGCTTCGTACGGTTGCGCATCACTCGGGAGAACGGCGGCTGATTAAAGAAGTTGCTGGCTCCATTGAATGGGAGAGGAAGACGCATTGTTTAAACACAGCTTTGGAATAAAATATGAATCGTTTTTTTTTTTTTAAGGGTTTGTTTAAAAACTGTGAAAATTAAACAGTGTCATTTGCACAAATGTTCATAATTGTGCCCATGGATGGATTGGATAGGAATTGTACATAATGTAAAAGTAAATGGGCTGGAACTTGTGCCACGTACTTTGCGCCGTGAAGTCAATTGGCTCGTTTAAGTTAGGTCCCTAGTCTCTTTAATGTCTGGTTTGCCACATTTAGAATGACTATTAGTCAGCTTGAAGTGAAATTCTGGAGGTCTTTGGGTCTTTTTTTTCCCTCACACTTTTTGATCTCCTCATTCAGTAATATTATAGACGTTTCCCCTCAATGGTGATTAAGTGGCAAATGAAGTGCTCTAAAAATGCATATATATGTAACCATGTGCAAATATGAACCAATGCTACGGGAAAAGGCGTGCGTGCGTTTTCAAGTAGGCACAATTCCACTTATTTAAGTTCAAGGCTTCGTACGGTTGCGCATCACTCGGGAGAACGGCGGCTGATTAAAGAAGTTGCTGGCTCCATTGAATGGGAGAGGAAGACGCATTGTTTAAACACAGCTTTGGAATAAAATATGAATCGTTTTTTTTTTTTAAGGGTTTGTTTAAAAACTGTGAAAATTAAACAGTGTCATTTGCACAAATGTTCATAATTGTGCCCATGGATGGATTGGATAGGAATTGTACATAATGTAAAAGTAAATGGGCTGGAACTTGTGCCACGTACTTTGCGCCGTGAAGTCAATTGGCTCGTTTAAGTTAGGTCCCTAGTCTCTTTAATGTCTGGTTTGCCACATTTAGAATGACTATTAGTCAGCTTGAAGTGAAATTCTGGAGGTCTTTGGGTCTTTTTTTTCCCTCACACTTTTTGATCTCCTCATTCAGTAATATTATAGACGTTTCCCCTCAATGGTGATTAAGTGGCAAATGAAGTGCTCTAAAAATGCATATATATACACCCCCACCC